GAGTGGGGCTGGTGGGGGGGTTGAGAGAGCCGGGGGGGAGTGGGGCTGGTGGGGGGGGGGGTTGAGAGAGCAATCTGAGAGCAATACTTTCTCAGCTCCACCCGGAGCAGCAGAACAAAAAAAAAGGGTTTACAGTTAAAAAAGATCATTTTGTGACCGACCGACCGACTGACGGACGGACGGTGAGAAGGATTCCTCCGTACAGTCAGCTCGGCTCAGTTGGCCCCGAGTCTGGTAGCTTTGTGGGTTCAAGCCCCACATTCGAGGCTCTAACGCAGCACTGGGGTTATAGACCACCGTTGCCGGAGGTGCGGTGCCGTCCTTCGGATGAGATGTTAACCCCCAGGTCCTGTCCCTCTGTTTGGGTGGATCTTAAAGCTACTGTCGCACTATTTGAAATGAAAAGGGAGTTTCTCTCTCTCTCTCTCTCTCTCTCTCTCCCTCTCCTGCTATCGTGGCCTTATCACGTCCTCGAGACGTCTCGAAGCTCTGCACAGGAAACACCGGGACGTGTATTGACTGTTTTCGTGGGCGACCAACGCGGCAGCCAACCGCGCACCGCGGCGTCCCCCGCAAACAGTCGTGGGGTTGAGTGGCCATTTGTTTTTTCTTTTGAAGGGATTATGACGAAATTTGATTAAAGGTTTCATTTCTTTGCGTAGGAAATGCAAAATACATCGCCTTTGGGTCCTCTGCGGTTTGGGGTGAATATAACAACAACAAAACGACATTCACTCAGCGCCTCTCCCGTCGGGAGGACGTCCCGAGCCTCTGGACAATCAGTTGGGGGGGGGGTTTGGAGCTTGAATTTGATACGGCGCCTTTCGTGTCGTGAGGACGTCCCAAAGCCCCTTCACAGGATTTACCGTAAAGCGCAGTGGCCGTGCATTTTGCAGGAGAACGAGGCAGCCATTTTGCGCACAGCAGAGGCCCCGCAAACAGCCGTGGAGCGAATGATCGAATTTTATTTGTCGGCCAGGAGACCGGGGGTGGGGGGGGGTGGGTGAGAGAGAGAGAGAGAGAGAGACTCCCTTCTCCTTATCGCCCGCTGAGCAGGGCACAGACAAGGACAGTGGCTTAACATCTCACCTGACGGCTCCTCCGAGCGCTTCCCCACCCAGCGCTGTACTGAGGCGTCAGCCTGGACAGCGCGAGTTCGAAGCCCAAAGTAAAACAAAGTTCGTTCCTCTCAAAAAGAAACGTCCCCGATTGACTGTCCGTTTGACTTACGACGTAAATCAAGAAACGTTCAACGTTTGAGACGAACCTAGAAAAGCGCACGACTGATAGAGCCCCGGACTCACCGAGGCTCGTGGGGATTTTCGGAGGGGGTTCAGCTCCTCGACCGGCCCCGTGGGCCTGACCTGGCCCGCGGGCCACAGTTTGGCCGCCTCCGGCTCAGACGATATGAATTCCAAGCTCCCCTCCACCGCCCCCCACCCCCCCACGTGGGGCTTGATTGAACCCACATGGAGAGAACACTACTGACCTGTAAAGTTACGCCATGATCGACAACGAAACCGGGATGAAACCAGTTTAATCACTCGAGCAAACACAAAGAGAGGAATTATGCAAAGCAGTCAGAGTTACAAAGGTTTCAGTGTTTCGCTGACGATAACACAGCTTGTTCTCTACCTCTATTGTCACTCTCACTCTCACTCTCCCTCTCCCTCCCTCCCTCCCTCCCTCCCGTGTCGCCTCGGATTATTTCCACCTCCCACCCTCATTCAGTCAGCGTGAGCCTAAATGAGCGGATTCAGTGCCCAACGTGGAGCTATGATCTGTGTGTTTGTTCTTTAATGAAGAGACTCTTCCCTTCCCCACCTCGCCCCCCCCCCCACACACACACCACCCCACACACCAGCTGACCCTCCACTCCCCTCCCTCTCCCCTCCCCTCTCCTCCCCTCCCTGCCCTCGATCTGTCAGCAGACAGGACCTTGGTCTGAGACCTTGACCTTCTCCCCGTTCAGGTGGACGTTAAAGATCCCACAACCCTATTGGAAGAGAGAAGGTCTCTCTCTCTCCCCCTTTCTCCAGGATCCTCCAGATACAATTGGCCAGTTGCCTCATGGCCATTTATGGGACATTGTCGTGACGTTTTCACCTACAAAACTAAACAGTTACTACACTTTCCTCTCTGTCCGCACTTCCGTTCATCGTTCCACCTCACTCCCTCGCCCCCCCCCCACCCCAGCTTCGGTGTCAACCCTGAACTGTCCAGAGCCTCGGGACGTCCTCCCGACATGAAAGGAGTTGCGCAATTGTAAATTTGTATCGTAACAGCAATAATAATCCCCGCAGTTGGACCCGACGCCTCATCAGGTCTTTGAGACGCCTCAAAGCGCTTCACAGATACGCTGCAAAGTGTAGTGACTGTGTGTTTTGTGGGCGAAACGCGACAGCCAATTGCGTACAGAGGTGTCCCACAAACGGTCGTGGATTGAGTGACCAATTTATTATTGTTATTATTATTGTTCCTGAGGGTTTCTTATCTCTCCTTATCCCTTATTGTACATTACCGTAACACCCTGTGAGGCACTTTGATCCCGACATGAAAGGCGCTGTGTCAAGTTGAAGGATGATTATCGTTGCGTTTGTACTTTTGTGAAAGGAGGAATAGAAGTGCAATTCTTTTATTGTTTTATTATTATTATGGAAATCTATAATAAGCGGCAGCCCGCTTGGTAATAATAATCATTTGATACTGTATTTGATACAGCGCCTTATCGCGTCATCGAGACATCCCAAAGCGCTTCACAGAATATGCCGTAAAGTGGAGCGACTGTATATTTCGTGGGCGATACGAATAGTAGAATGGCGCAACGGGTCTGAGGGGCTGAATGGCCTACTCCTGTTCCTAGAACGGGTGGAGGTAAACATTGGATGAGTTGCTTAGAGAAGTTCCCCCTCTCCCTCTCTCCCGCTCCCTCTATCCCATTGGGTATGTGTATAATCCTGGGCCACACCAACATGGAGACCTCAACCCAGGTTCCTAACCTTCCTCTTCTCTCAAGGCCGGGCTACAGGTAGATGGCTATCCGAGGCTATCTTCCTCGGATTTTATTTTGACAGTAGTCCCTTCCTGGAATTCTCTCCCCTCCACCCAGCAACTTCCAATAAATAAATTACTTTAATCAAGGTTGGAGTTTGCCAGTTGCTTAAGAGACCCCATTTAATAATAATAATAATAATATCCTTGCGTGTGATATAGTGCCTGACTTATCACGTCTTCGAGAAGTCTTCACAGGATATATTGTAAAGTGAATGGACTTTTTGTTGCTGTTAATGGAGGGTGTTGAGTGGGAGCATTGAAATCCTGTCCTGTCCTTTCTTTCTCAGTCATCAACATGCCGACTTTGATACCAGAAGCCTTCAAGAACGTCAGCAGGAATCCAGGTCTTCAGATATGGTCCATCGAGGTAAGGTCCATCTCCTCGTCTCTCTCTCTCTCTCTCTCTCTCCAAAACACCACACCACACAGGTTGTATTCCCACTGCGCCTCGCACGTCGGGAGGACATCTCAAGTCAGATGTCACATTCCCAGTTGAGGTAGGATTGAAACCAGGGGGTGTGACGGTTTGTGAGACACAACTGCCTCCACTAACAGCGAGAGCGGCTGATCCACCAAACGCCACACGTTCTCACTTGTTGGAGGGGAGAGTCGGCTGAGATTGAGTCGGTGACGGAATCCAACATGGTTCGTGTTCACACAGGTTGACGTGTCAGTGAGAATAAAACCACAATCCTCGCCTTTGACCCGACGCCTTATCGCGTCTCCGAGACGCCTCAAAGCGCTTCGCAGGATGCACTCTAAAGTGTAGTGACTGTGTGTTTTGTGGGCGAAACGCTGGGCGCAATTGGCTGCCGCGTTTGGCCCGCAAAAACACACGGTCACTAGACTTCACAGTGTATCCCGTGAAGCGCTTCGAGAGGTCCCAAGGCGCTGGAAAGTCAGGGATTCAGCCCCGAGCTGAGAGATTTGGGATCAGGGAGGGGTGGAGGGCAGGGAGGGTTAGGGGGTAGGAGGGTGGTGCAAGGCACGGTCGAAGAGGAGGACCTTGAGACGGGTCTTGAAGGAGGCGATGGGAGGGACTGTGGGATGGAGGTCCAAAGGGGTAGAGAGGCTGAAGGCCTGACCGTTGATGGTGGGGCAGGAAAGTGGGGGGTGGGGGGACATGGAGGGCCGCTGGTCAAGGCAGAAGGTCGGAATGATGTAAAGCAAAGGGCATCTTTGCCAGGCTGTAGCCTCGGTTGCCCAGAGTGCCCAGGGCCTCCCCATTCACACCGTGCTAATTGTTTTTTTTTTACACAGAAAATGGAACCGGTTCCCCTCCCTACGAAGGCCTACGGGACCTTCTTCGAAGGAGACTGTTACATCATAATGTTCGTAAGTACCCGAGCGTGACTCCCGATCCGTCTTTTTTTTTTCTTTGGAGAAGTTGACCACGGAATCGTCGAATATTACAGCGCAGACGGAGGCCGTTCATTCGGTTGTGAGCTCAAGCTTCATATCCGCTCGTTGAACTGGATAGTCTAAGCTGACGTCCCAATGCTGCGCTGGGGGTGGGGGGGGGAGCAAATTGACTTAACGTCTCATTTGGAGGACAGCGCCTCCGTAACCCTAACCCTAACCCCTTAACCCCCATCCCCTAAACCCCAACCCCAATCCTTAATCCTAACCCATTTTGTTGTTGTGGTTTTGCCCAGGTCAAGAGGACATCCACAGGCACCTCGCAGGCTCTGCACTTCTGGGTGGGCAAGGAATCCAGCCAGGACGAGCAGGGCAGTGCCGCTATTTTTGTCACCCAACTGGACGATTACTTGGGCGGGGGCCCCATCCAGTACAGGGAGATGCAGGCGCACGAGTCCTCGGCCTTCAAAAGCTACTTCAAGAACGGCATCGTGTGAGTACGACAGCGGGAACCGTACTCGAGTGTGAGCGCAGTCATTTAGGGAGCCACGAGCCACGGGCTACGAGCCACGAGCCACGAGCCACGAGGGGGCTCCAACCTCTTCCCTTGCTGAAGGCCGGATGTTTGAGAAAAGTCCTCAAAATAGGCCACACTTTTTCTGACTCCCTTTCGGAAACGTGACGTAACATTTACAGGTCATGGAGGGAGTAGGTGGGCCATATAAAATGGAGGAGTGGGGCGGGGGGGTGGGGGGGAGGGGGGGGAGGGAGAGGGATCGGGTGAAATCGTTTTTTCTTCGCCCCCGACACGCACAGCAGTCGCTACACTTCACCGGGAGAGCGCTTTGAGACGTCTCGACGCCGCGATAATAATAATAATGATAATATAATAATAATAGTAATAATAATCCTTGCATTTTGCTACAGCGCTTTTCACGCCCTCTCGACGTCTCGAAGCGCTTCGCAGAATAGAGCGCAAAGTGAATTGACCGTATAGATTTTGTGTCAAATGCTCATTCGAAACGATAGGGCGCCTCATTTCAATTATTATTTGAATTGTTCTTATTATTTAAATGATAAGGCGCCCGTGTCAAATGCCGGGGGATTGATTGACCGCGACTGAGATTGATTTATTGGGCGGCGTTGACAGGTACAAGAAAGGAGGGGTGGCTTCCGGCTTCAACCACGTGGAGACCAACATGTACAACATCAAACGCCTGCTGCACCTGCAAGGACGCAAGTCCATCATGGCCACCGAGGTGAGGACCCTCGCGAGCCGGAGAGGCCCCACCCGGGTTCGATCACACACACACGCACACGCGCACGCACGCGCGCACACGCGCGGGCAGGCACGAGCGCCTCTGTTTACCCGGCGGTAAGCAGGAACCCGGTCGTCAGTCGATTATCTGATCGCTTTTCCGGGGGTAATAATCCCCCCCCCCGATAGATTCAAAAAAAAGTAATAGTGAGCCCCGCCTGTTTGAGTGCTCCAACCAGACCGGGCGCTTCATCATGAGCGAGGTCAATGATTTCACCCAGGAGGACCTCGATGAGGAGGATATCATGCTGCTGGACACGTGGACCGAGGTATTGGTTGGCTTACACACGCCCCGCATCAGGCTCCGAGACAACCCTCCTCTGGTTCTTTTGCCAATTATCTTCCATCTGTGTCCCCTGCTTCACCAACCCATCGGCCGGAGGAAACGGTTCCTCCCCTATCTACTCTGATCATTTAGTAAATCTTTCCTTAACCTTCTCCACTCTTGTGGAGAACGTCTCTCGTCTCTTCTCTCGTCTTCTCCGTGCCTTGGCTCGTCTTGGCTGGTACCCAGTGAGGGCTCAAGCCCGGGCTTGTCAGATGTCAAACGGCCAGCTGGTGACTAGGCCCCAAGGTGACATGTTTGGCAACGGAATGTGGGTATCGAGTCCCCCCCCACCCCACCCCGCCTCTCTGTGACGGTCTCTAGTCCCCGGTTCCTGAGCCAGGAGGGGCCGCAGTGTCCCAGGGCACTCACGGCTGATGGCCGCCCAGCCCCGGCCCCGGCTCATCCATCAGCAGGACCTGGAAGGGCCGATCAGTCACTGGGGGCGGGGAATCCTCCCCCTCGGCTCCTGGTAACCTCGGAGCCAAAGCCCTAACTAACGGGGAGAGGGGGGGGTCCGAGATCGACAAGCATTGGGAAAGCTTGGCCAGACAGTGATCCCTCCCCCCCACCCCCCCGCACACCCCCCCAAGCCTTGGGTCTCACCAACCTGCGCCTAATACTCTCTGGAATTAGGTAAGCAGAATGCAGTAATACATTATACATGTATGCCTACTTACATATGGACTCACACACATACAGATACATACAACGTGTATAGACAATAAATACACAATACACATACTTACACACAAACATACACACGCGCACATGCACTCACCTACACAAATATACACGCACATACATATACACATACATACACACATGTATACCACATGCATACATACATACATACATACATGCACACATACATATGTATGTACACACACACACATACACACACACACACATACTACACATACAAATATATACCCCACACACACATATATATAACAGACGTACATACAAAAGAAAGATATTGAGAGGTTTTGGGGGAGAAAAGGGAGTGAAATGGGATTGTAGATCTTCTGTGATCTTATTAAAATGGTGGCACAGACTGGATGGGCTGAATGGCCTCCTCCTGCTCCTGCTCCTGTTCAGACCTGTGTTTTCCTCGGCAGATCTTCCTGTGGGTGGGGATATCGGCCAACGACTACGAGAAGAAGGAAACTCAGAAGTCCACCAGCGAGTACCTTCAGTGCCACCCGGCTGGCCGCGACATGGACACCCCCATCATCACCGTCAAGCAGGGCTTCGAGCCCGCCACCTTCACAGGCTGGTTCCACGCCTGGGACCCCCACAAGTGGAACGTAAGCCACCCCCCCCTCCCCGGAGCTGCAGACGGTGGGGTGGGGTGGGGCGGGCCGGGTGGGGTGGGGTCATATGATATGGAGTCAGTGGGTCACAGAGGTGGAGAGGGACAAGAGGTCTATTTGAAGGAGGA